GTGAGTTGGAGGTTGCAAGTGAGCTATGATCCATCACTGCACGTCAGCCTGGACAACAGAGTGAGAACTAGTCTATTTAAAAAATATATATATATATACATATATATATATATGTATATATATATATATTTTTTAAATAGACTAGTTCTCACTCTGTTGTCCAGGCTGACGTGCAGTGATGGATCATAGCTCACTTGCAACCTCCAACTCACAGGGGGTGCTCAAGCAATCTTGCCTTAGCTTTCCAAGTAGCTTGGACTACAGGTGTGTGCCACCAAGCCCAGCTAATTTCTAATTTTTTTGTAGAGACAGTGGCCTCACTATGTTGGCCAGGATGGTCGTGAACTGTTGGGCTCAAGCAATCATCCTGCCTCAGCCTCCCAAAGTACTGGGATTCCAAATATGTGCCACTGTGCCCAGCCAGTTTATGACGATCTTTTTATAATGTCACAAAGTAATTCAATGTCATCATGCTGTATTAAAAAGAAAGCTCTTAAAAAAAAAAGAAAAAAAGAAAGCTCTTTTTATCTCCAGAGGTCTTAAGGTTTGTGATCCCTTTTCTATTTGATGAGAGAAGTCTCAAGGGTAGTAGGGAATTTTAGAGGTGAGAAATAGTTAAAGAATAAAAGGTAGAGTATCATTAAGTATGCCTTTTTATTTTCAGGGATATTATTGTTTATGGTTTTGACAGTATGCCGTTAGTAATGACCAAGGTTCTGTAACATGGAGTTGAAGTGTACAAAAAGATCATCTAGTAAATAAATAAGTGCTGTTCAGTCATTGCTCAACTGCACCCCACTGTGATCTACTTAATCATACATGTCATGCTTAGGCTGTAACTGGTGAGATATGCTAGCCACAAATTTGAGTCTCCTTCCTATACAGCCCACACAGACTGTATAAAGTTTGGCAGGTCTGTTGAATTACTGCAGTGGCTTCCACTCCATCACCAAAATTTCTATGCGCTATATATTATAACAATAACGCTTTAAGCTTGATCTATCTCAATATACTTTAGCTTTGTTAAGTCAGACAAGTAGATGGATAGTTAAACAGAAAGAAAATTAAAAACAATGACTGGTTATTTTTTAAATAGAGGCAGCCAAGTTCAGAAATATATAATCTGCTTAATAACACTAACATACATGGTAAGTTGAACAGATATAATAAATCTCAATGAGTTAAAAAGGCTGAATTAAATCTAAACCTATTCTGAATCTGTGGGTACCCTAATGAAAGCTCAAAAATCTAACAAGGGAAGATTTTATGAGGCAAAACCTATTTGACAAATTTCATTGCACACTTACATGTGTCAGACACTCAGTAAAATGAGGGAGATGAACCACGAATAAGACATAGTCCCTGCCCTCAAGGAGTTTATTAATACTTAGTGAATGAGACAGAAACCACACAAAAGCAAACTAACTAAATAAAAATAAAATTTGTGAAAAGCACTGAGAATTAGAAAAAAACTCTACGCTGTGAAAAAGAAAGCAGAAGGAGTATTTATTACAGACAGGAAATAACTTTTGCTCATGTTTAAACTAACAGGACACCAGAAAAAACAAAAGCCATCACCATGGGGCTCTTTTCATTTTTTTATAGATTAAGTCGTTTTATGAATAATTTATAAATGTAAGAAATAATGGTAAAATGAAACACCTATATTAAAATTTGTACCAATATTTTAAAGCATCTAAAGGTCAATACTTTCATAATAATTTTATTTTGATATATAGATCTGAAATAGCCAAAGTTTTTTGAATGTAACTGACTTCTCATCAACTGTCAGTCCTAATCCTGGGAATATATTTATCTTGTAAATGCCGATTCCTGATTTCAAATACATGGCTAAAAGATTTTAGCTTACCTTTACTTCCACTTTTCCCCCAGTATCATAGAATTTATCACTTTTGAGAACCTTAATAGCTCGGATTTTTAAGAGAGAACAGCCATTCTCTTTGCTTCCAAATTACCCTACATCTTCATTTTTAGATGAGGCATATATACCTATCTTCAGCATGTGTTAACTTATGAACAATATCAATTCAATTTTTGTGCCAAACACGGAAGAAAGAATATAATTGAATGTCCTTTAAAGCAAACAAGATAGTTCAAGTTCTTGCTGCAAAATATTGTATGTTAAAATCCTACTTATATAAGAAACCATATTTCCCTTTTGTCCTCAAATTT